ACCCCCGTGTGGGCCTGACAGGAGGCAGCGCGAGCCCCGGCCCCGCAGCGGTGGCGGCGGCGGCGCCCCCCCCACCACCACCTCCCCGGCGCGCGCACCAAACACCACCGCCACCTGCGCGAGGCCCAGCGGGCACAACGTCTGCATTCGCACTTTCGCCAGGGGTGCCGCCAGGAGACCCACGGGGCCGAGGGTAGCGGCCTCGCCTCGGCCGGCGCCCTGTAAGGCTCGGGAGTTGCGGCCCAAGGAGCCTGGAGATTGGTCGCATCCCCCGGAGAGTGTGCTTCACCACCACTATGCAGCTGCTCCGGCCTGGGGTTTCTGACGAATCGGCGGTGACGAAAGCTGTGACCAGTCCCTGAGGAAAAAAGGGGCGGGCGGAGAGGAGGCGGCCAGCTGGAGCTGTGCAGGGTTGAGTGGCGCGTTGAGAGGAAGCAGATTCGTCGGGCGGGCGGGGCGAATCGGTGGACAGGACGCGCGCTCCTCTGCGCCTCTTCCCTACCCCTTCCTTGCGCGGCCGGAGGTCTAAGGGGCTGCAGATTCGCCACTGTTCCTGGCTTCAGCCGTCGCCTCCCTTCATCCGCCTTGGTGGTGTCAAGAAAATAACGCCCGGTTAGCCAAGTCGTGTTGGCAGAGTCGACCACTTTTTCTGGATCTTTCTTCCTCACACAACTCAGGGGATAGCCCACTTCTGACCCAGGAGGAAATGGCTCCAGCCCAGAGCTCCTGTTAGAATCCGATGAAAATTTCCAGTCAGGTGTAGAGGATTCCCGAGTAATTCAGAGGAGGAGCCGGCCTGACGAATCTGCTGACCCTTCTGGGCGGGGCAAAGGCGCCGCGCGCGGAGGGGCGTGGCCAGAGCGTGCGGAGCCCGGAGGGGCGGGGCAAAGGCGCCTGCTGCGGGACCCGCCGAAACCGGGGCGGACTGGGAGGGGCACCCGGGAGGTGGAAGGATACCACCAGGAGCAGTGACTCAGGCCGTTTGCTCGGCCCTGCACTTGACGTCGGGAGCGTTTTCTTCCCACTATCATCCTTGGGCCTGTAGCTGTTTAAGATCCCCATTTGACAGATGGGGAGACTGAGGCCCGTAGAAGGTGCCGCATTTTGCCATACTTAGCCCACAATTAGTGGTTAAATCCGGGATTGTCTCCGCGTTCTCTAATAGGCCTGGTTGGGCCTAAAGGCCCTTAAATGGGTCGTGTAAAACATAATAAACTAGATCCTACAGGATCTGGAATCGGCTTGTCGACTCTCCAGGCATCATGGCCCCAGTGCCAGCTTTCTTCAGCTGGGGCTCCCTATGCTCATGGGAGCCGGCCACTCGAGGTCAGCACCAGTGCAGGCCTATACCTGGGACCCGGGGCCGGGTCCCCCTCAGGCTGGACACCCTTTTTATCATGTGTGGACGCAGACACCCTGGTCTCTGGGGGGAACGGCACTCCCAAGAGGCCCATCAGCCTGAGCTGAGGATGCCCTAGACTCCTGACATCTCTATATCAGTTCCTCACTATAGGACCTTGGGCAAGTCATTGACCTAAGTTTCAGATTCTTCCTCTAAAAATGGATGTTAATTCCTGTCAAACAGTACTATTGTAGACATCAGAACAGTGCAGGAGAGAATCTTGGAGCCTGGTTTGTGTAAACCCACCATTTCAAGGAACAGAGAAAGGGGACTTGCCCAAGGTCTCACACCACAGCAAAGAAGACAGAGGATTAAAACCCTTTCAAATTTTGAGGGAAATGAGGCTAAAAAATTAACTTACATGGAGGCATAGGTGATGAGATCAGATTCCTTACTTTTGCCCCAGGTGAAAGGTACTGGTTCATTTTCTCAAATCAAACAAAGATTCCCATATGATGGTAAAGGTAATCCGAATTCGGTTTCACTGACTAGCTGTGAAACCTATGAAAAGCCCCTGGTATGTAGCACTCAAGAAAGAAACTTACACTAGGCTGGCTAGGTAGCTCAGCTGGTTAGAACTCAGCTTTATAACACCAAGGTTGTGGGTTCAGATCCCCATACTGGCCAGAGGCCCAATAAATAAAGTTTAAAAAAAAAACAACTTACACTAAATCCTCAATGGAAGAGATACGGACCCTGAGCTCAGGAACAAGATTTCAAAGGCCTTTAGCCTTGAAATAACTCTCCACATTCAGAAGCAATTGGTCCTTGTCAGTGCCTGACAGGGCTCACACCTGGAACCCACTCCCTGCCAGGTACATTTGCCTCCACTTGCCTCTTAGGAATAAGTAACCTCCCAGGAAGGCCCCCCACCTTCATCCCATTCACAGCCACAGGGACATACGTGAAACACAGTTTATTGTACAAAACGGTGCATCAAAAATTCAGTGTCGGAAGAGCTCTGCATTCCACAGGCTAATGACTAGAAGGCTAATGGACCTTCTCCCTTAAAACTTCCTCACCCAACCCTTGGTAAGGAGTCAGGCTGGGGCAGAGGCCCTCAGTCTCCCAAAACCTCCAGCCCTGGCCCAGGAGAGTGAGAACCGGGTATAGATGCATAAATGAAGGCCTAGGGCAGTGGACCAGGTATCACCCCTTCTGCGTGTGGCCATAGGTCACCAACAGTGGGGGGTTGACTTGGACCTCCAAAAACAGGGAGGATCCTTCTAGGAAAGGCTGGACCTATGCCTGGGGCAGAAATCCCTCTAAAGCAACTAAAGCAAGAATGTGGAACCCCTCAAAGTATGGGGACAGGGAAATCATTCCCCAAAATGCCAACTCTAAAATAGATTCTACAAAAATAAAGCAAGGGTTGACTGCCTTCTTGGGGCAGCTGTGTGGGCCTGTAACCTTCTGACCTCCACATCTTGTGCAGGAGCAAGGGACTGAAGGTCAGCATCACAGGTCCACCAGGGTCTCCCTGCCTCCCCTCTATCTACCGCATGGTACTTGGACTGAGGACCTTCCACTTCCTCCCTTGTTCCTCCCAGCCTAGGTGCAGGGTAGAACTTACAAAACCCATTGGATGGACGGACATGGAAAAACCCCTGGGGATATGGGAGCTGCCCCAAGGCCTGGCCCAAAGGACCCTGCGGGCAGGAATCTGGTGTCTACCTGAGAGTGGCCCACAGGAAGTGGCTCCAGCCAGGGGTAGGGAATGAGGTCTGCAGGCCCCTGGGGCCTCTGGTAGACCCCTACAAGAGGGGCAGGCAGTGCTGCAGCAATGGCTGACACCAGCCTCACACAGCCTGCAGCTCCCCCTGCAGGCGACTCAGCTCCTCCAGCTCTTGCTTGTAGCGGTCTGTCTTGTGTGCCACCAAAGAGCGGTAGAAATGCAGGGCAAAGGCCACGAACACGAGCCCCACAGGTACCATGATTGCTGTGGAGGCCATGGCTGCTTGCCAGCCTGGCCCATGGGTCCCACTACCACCACATGCTTGCCGAGGTGGGCAGGCCTCAGATGATGGCTCAGCGTGTGATGGGGCTACAGAAGCAGAAGGTGGGGGGAGGTTGGAAGCTGGACTAAGGGAGGTGGCCACTGAAGTCAGAGTCCCAGGCACCTGGGTTGCAGGTACCACAGGGGCCGGTGTATCCAAGGGAGCCCCTATGGGCACAAACTTGACCCAACCAACCAAGACAACTTCAGCAAGGAAGAGGAAGGTGCCCAAGGCAGTGGAAAAGCCCCAGGCCAGCTCCACGTAGCGGTGGAGCCGCTGGTGTGGAGACTGGTGGACAGAGTTGAGGTTGTGAATGTTGCTCACAGCTTCAATGTGGGGCAGCAGACACGTGGAGACCATGAGTGCAAAGAGGTGCACAGCCACCAGCACAGTGGTACAGGCACTAAAGGCCACCAGCAGGCCTGGTGGGTATTCATGGTTGCTCTCCAGCTGTACCTCCACCATGGCCACCTGTAAGGACAAGAGGGATGGACTGAGTGCCCGTAATCTCCTCAAAAGTAGAAGAGTTTTTGCCTGTTGGGATACATCACTGATTTATTCCTAGGACCTAGAATGGTGACTGGCAGAAAGAAGGCACTGACTTTGTCAAGTGAACAAATGGGCAGCCTTGGCAAGGCTCTGTCCTGTTCTGGACCTTGGTTTCCTCACCTGGCTATCAAGAGAGCTGGATGATATGTTTGACAGTTTTACCTTGTAATAGCATAGGGGTTAGAAACAGATTATGGAGCTGGGCTGACTGGGTTCTTTCTCAGGTCTACAAGCTGTGTAATCTAGAGCAAGTGACTTAGCTTTGTCTGTGCCTCAATTTCCTATCTGGAATAGGGGGTTGATAATAGCACCTACCTGCCTTATAGAGTGGTTGAGAAAATTAAATGAGATGATACACACCAAGTGCTAAGAACAGTGTCGGGCACACAGTAAGCACAAGGTAAGTGTTTTCTGTTATTATAGTTAATGCTAAAGTCTGAGGCCAGAGTTTGCAAATTGGTACACCATGAACCGAAGCCAGCTTGCAGACATGTTTTGCTTGGCTCACACAATGTGTTTTTTTAAAATTGAATTAGTTGCCAACTTTTAAAACTCAAGAGATTTCATATAAATATCTCTATTTCCAGATCCTCTGGAAAACTTGGAAGATCTGGTCACACCAGGCCCACATTCCTGCATGGGGACTCTCAGCTAGAGTTGAGTCATGGCTGCTCCCTGTGGACAGGTCATGGGGTCTCTTGATCACCAGTCTCACCTGGCCAACTTGGCACCCATAGTACCTGCCTGGCCTTGGCAAATATTTGAGTTGATGACTCTGTTCTAGGAATGTATAAATTTTGGACTCGTGACAGACTGCCTAAGTTCAAATCCTGCCACTTACTTGCTGTGGGACCTTGGGCAGCTGTCTTAACATCTCGGATCCTCAGTTTTCTCATCTGTAAAATGGCCATAGTAGTGGTAGCTACTTCATAGGATAATAGAAAGTCAATGAACATAAAAGTCACGAGCTCAGTTCCCGGTACTTACTGACAGTTCAAAACAATTCATTTAATGTTATTCTAACTCAGGCTACTTGGGTTTCAGAATCTGGATCTTTCCTCATCCCTGGTTCTCACAGGGTCTAGTAGTTTGCTCTGGGGCTAGGGGGAGGTAAGGGAAGGTACAGAGTGTGGCAGGTGGTGGTAGGAAAACAAGGCTGAATATTTTGGGAAACTAGGCCATAGCAGGTGTTACCAGGTGTTTTCCACAGACAGGGATCTGGGTCAGGTTTAATCCTGGTTTTTCCCAGAGCCAGGCCCAGCCTTGCTCACCCCTGCCAGGACTGCGGCCAGTCCTTCCCCCAAAACCTACACATCCAGCCTCTTGATCCTGCAGAGAAGGCCCTGGCCCTTAAGCTGTCACCCCAGCAACCTGCAAGTCCTACAGTTGGCCAGACTGTCCCATTGGGAACAGGCTGGACCATGGGGTTGACCTCCCTCAGCTGCTCCCTCCCTCTGCAGTCTGTACAGATGAAGAGAAGCCAACTCCCCACCCCTAAATGACACCCCCAGGAGGAAGGGTGGTTCGGTCTATGGATTCTGGGACCCCAAATAGAAAATCAGAGGTCTAGGATGACCCTTAGAGACTTTACCTGTCATTATTCAAATACAGAGGCTGAGGCACAGAGAGGGCAGGGACTAACCCAAATCACCTAGTACTATGACCCTACCTCAGCTGCCTCTGATGTCCACCCCAACAGAAGCACGTTCCCAAAAGCACCCCCCTCCATCCCCTTTCTTCTTCTTCCTGTAATGAACAGTCCAGTGACCCTGGGTCCTAATTCATTCTATATCCTTTATCTGCTGAGTGTCCTTGGCAGAGTGACTGCCCCACTCTGGGCCTCGGTTTCCACACTTGTCTAATTAGCAGGTTAGTCCGAGCCACCTCTGGTGTGTGTCTTGCTCTGACGTGCTTGGATCTGGGGTTCCTGATGACAAGAATCACAGTTCATCTGGGGCGGGTACTTGGCAGGATACAGAGGGCGCACCCTCCATGATCTCAGAATTTCCCACTGGCCTGCGAGGGGTGGAGGCTGTCCAGGGTCACACAGCTGGCCATAGCAGGGAGGAGTCAGGACTCGTGTCTGTTGACTCCTCACCATAGGACTCCCTCTATCCCACTTCTTGTGAGGCCACTTCTGGGACCGTTAGCTGGTATCCTCCTCCCACACCTGCAGCTTATCAGCTTGAGAATCGCTTATCAGCTTCCCTCCCCAGCGGCTTCTTCACGGGCATCATCACCTTTTCTCACTTTTCTTGGGTGATACTAGCACCCTTTGTGCCTTCTGCAGAGCAGCCTCCTTCCTCGGGATGGGCCTGCCTTCAGTTGCATCCAGTTTATTCCCACCCCCACCCCCGTTGATAGAACCCCCGCCCGGCTCTGACTTGCCTTTGAACTTCTCATGAGGACCTAGTGACCACTTCTGCCAGAAGGATCACTCTGCCCTATCGTTGCCTATGTGTCCCCGTTGGTGACTTGTTTACCCCTTCCCCCATGGCCCGTTTATATTCCTGGAGTCCTGTTTACACACCCACACCCATAAAAGGGACTTGTTCAGTCCGTTGGGACCTAGTTCGTTCCCTGTTTAAACCCCATCTTTCCCTTTCCTCTACCCTGTCTCCCTGGGGGAATCGGTTACTTCACCCCCACCCCGTGTGCCCCTTCCCTCCCTCACCATGGCGAAGCCAGAGAGCAAGGCGGACGTGCGGCTGGAGGCTTTGAGCTTGGCTCGGCTGAGGTAGAGGCGGCGCCAGCTGAGCGCCCGCAGCGAGTGCTGGCTGGCCCCCATGAGGTCCAGGTAGCCGCGGTGCACGAACTCCCGGTACGTGGCCGAGCCCGCGGGGCTCTCAGCCTCCGGGTTCAGCGGGGCCTGCTCGCCCGCGTCCCCCTCGGCGCCCTTCATCCTGGGGGGGGCGGCACCAGGAGGGCCGGGCGGTCACAGCAGGGCCGAGGCGCCTGGGAAGCCCCAGGAAGTCCGGCCCAGGGCGGGGTAAGGCCCCATCCCCCGGCGGGGCGAGCGGGGATGAGGGCAGCAGGAGCCCGGAAAGAGGCGACCCCGGAGAAGCAGGAAGAGCAGCGGCTGCGGGGAAGCCCCAGGGGCCGAAGCGGGAAAACAGAGGCCGCAACAGGAACTGGGGCAGAGGCGGAGCCGGGGCGGCCACATGATGGGGTGGAGCCGGGGGACGGAGCCCCCGCAGTCCCAGATCCGTGGGCAGAGATTCCGGGGGACCCCGCGAAACCACCGCACCAGGATTACCATGCAGGCGCCCAAGCCCCAGCCTGTGACTGGGAGTTCCGGGCTCCAGACCACTCCAAGGCACACCTGGACACTCCCAGGTCTAAGCAGTAAACGGGAAAGATGAGCTCATTCACCTGTAGGAACGGAAGGGGCCCCTCAGATGGATCTAAAGAGCCCCTAGGAGTGAGCCCTTCGGCTATCCCCACCATACCCCCAGTTCCCCGACGCTGCAGACACACACACGAACTCGGCGGCCCCGGCTGGAAGATTCTGAGTTTTATAGCAAACAGTATTGTACATACCCGGGGCCCAGGGGCCCAGCCCGGCTGGGTCCCCCACTTGCCCCTCGCCGGGCTGCCTCCTCCCCCTCCCCCAAGCGGCCCCATCCTCGAGCCTTTCGCGACCCCCAGGCCCCCTCCTCCGGCCTTTGGTCCGCCCAGTCCCACCCCCCCCACCCGCGCACCTCCCTGTTACCTGAGGTATGTGGATAGATCCCCCCTCCCCAACGTGGTACAACCCGGCTCCCCCAGGAGGCCGGGGCTGAGGGGCGGGACCTGGCCCCGACTCCGCCCTCTGGCTCCCGAAGCCCCTCCTCAGCACCGGAGGAGGGGCGGGGAGAGGTGGGCCAAGAGAGTCTGTTACGAAGTTCCCATGGCAACTAGAGGGGCCATTTCCAGCCTTAGCACTGGCATCGGGAGGTGTCCGTTGGCTGCTATTTCCATGGCAACCAGGAGTGGCAGTTCCCTGGGCAAATGGGATAGTTTCCATGACGGTGAAAGAGTGGGAAGAGCCAAGCTGGAGGAGTCCCATCTTCCCCATCATTGGGCTGGCACCCCCAACCCCCAACTCGGGTCAAGAGGGGTGTAGCTGCTCAATACAGTAAAGCAAGAGAGAGCCTGGGGGTGGCGCAGTCCAAACTGTGTGCCCACCGGTCCAGTCTCAATCCCAGCTGGTCCTGTCCCCTCGCACTCCGGCTCCCCCAGGTCCGAGGTTCCCCCGGTTCAAGTAACACTTCAGTACAGATGAATGTTCAAGTATTGTGCGGAGAGGCAGGCAGGGGGCTGGGGTACCCCTCACCACTCCCCTGAGCCACGAGCTGAACCGCGGTAGTCCCGTGGCCCCCACTCCTCGCAATAGCTGCCATTTTCAGTGACGTTCAAGGAGTCAGGGTCAGGAGGGGAAGGAACTGAAATCTGGGGAGGGGGTAAGGAGAGGGGTGACCCCCCTGAGGGGGTACAATTGCCCCCACACCTGCTGTTGCCCCCACCCGCCACTCAGCCCTGGCTTTCCCCTGGCTCCCTAAGTCCCCCTACCTGACACCAGGATCCCCAATTGCTCCTCTGGTTTCCCTTTTTGGCCCCCCCATCCCACCCCCCACTCCAAGACTTTGTTCCCTGAACCCTTGGTGGTCTGCTTACTGCCCCCTCCCCCCGCCCATCCTCCACCTCCCCCCAGCCCCTGGCTTCCAGTATCCTGTGTGCAGATACCCTTTTCCCATTCTCCCTCCCTCAAATTTGCACCTGAACCCCCCTCCCACCATCCCTTTGGCTCAGCACCCCCCAGTACCTCTGACCCATTCCCCCCAGGGGATGGACAATGAAGCAGGTGAAAGGGGGAGGAGATGGGAAGGACAGACCCCCAGAGATATCAGTGCAGGGGGAAGGGAAGGGGGAGGCTGGCTCAAGTCCCTGGGCAGGAATCCCAAGTCAGAAAACTCAGGAATCCCAAGTCACGAGGTGGGTAACCTGGCCTCCCAGCAAGGGGTGAAATGAAGGCCGAGGTCCAGGCTCCTGATGAGTCCTGGGGAAGGGTAGGGGGGCGCCCAACTAGCTGTCCTTGAGAAGTAGCTTCTCCTCTGGGCAGCGGAAGGGGCCAGGGGGGCCGGCGGCTGCCAGCCGGGCACAAGCTTCAGGTGAGAGCTGGCGGCAGGAGCGCAGGTCTAGGCGGCGTAGACGCGGGCAGCGGCGGAACAGCGGGAGGCAGTGGTCTGTGAGGCGGTGGCAACCTGGGGATGGGACAGCAAGAGTTGAGACCAGGTAGGTGAGTGGGGGGAGTAGCACTAGCCATGGGGAACCAACAGGGGAACCTAATGGACAAGGGACCATGCTTACCAGCAAGATTGAGGTGCACCAGGGTCTCGCGGAGTGGAGATGTGGGGGCTGTGAGGAGGTGGACACTGGGGTCCCCGACGTGGGCGCAGTGGCTCAGGTCCAGGGCGCTCAGCTGGGGTGCATGGCGCAGCAGGAGACGCAGGGAGGCATCTGTCAGCTCCAGGCCTGCCAGGCGCAGTTCTGCCACCCCCTGCAGCCGCCCCCGGCTCTCTGTTTGTCCTGGGCAGGCAGAAGATAGTCAGCACCCCTGGCCACTCCTGTCCCTGCACCCAGGTGTCCAGAACAGCTGTCTCCATACCCTCACTCCTCACCCCCCCCAAACCTGCTTCCACCATAAGCAAGGTTCAATTAGCTGCACTCACACAAGGCTTGCTCTTCTCCCAAATACCCACACAACTGACTGCAGCTCATCTGTGCATTGATCACTCACCTCCTCAGTGAGGCCTGCCATGATTACTGTCTGAAACTATAACATTCCACACACTCCTACCCCTTCCCTGCATTTTTTTTTCCATTTTTTCACCATCTGACATATTGTATACATTTTTTCCTACTAATCTTGCTCTCTTTCTCAGTTCCATTGAAGGCAGGAATTTTTGTCTGTGTTGTTCATTGCTCTAGCAACTGAGAAACAGTAGGTGCTCAATATATATTCATTCATTCATTCATCCAACACATGACATTCCTAAAGGGCCTTCTCCCAGGCCCTTCTCCCGCCTCCCTCTCTTCCATGATTCGTAGTCAACAGTTGGACACTCCTCTGGTCACCACTCTGGGTCAACACCACTCTGGCCTGAACTCCTGCCCCAGCCTCCTCACTTATTCCAGTATCTCCTCTTCCTAGCATCCACAGAAAGCCATTCTCAAACACAAACAGGACAACATCCCTCCTCTGCTAAAAGCTCTTTGGGCCGGCCCTGTGGCGCACTGGATAGTGCGCCGCTTGGGAAGCGCAGCGGCGCTCCCGTCCGAGGGTTCGGATCCCACATATAGACCGGTTCCCGCTCACTGGCTGGGCGAGGCGCGGGAGCAACACTGAGGTTTGCAATCCCGTTGCCGGTCCCCGGTCCGGTACGGGGGCAACACTGAGGGTTGCGATCCGTTGCCGGACACGGAAAAAAAAAAGACAAAAAGACAAAAAAAATAAATAAATAAAAAATAAAAAAAATAAAAGCTCTGAGGGCAACTCAAAGAAGTCCAGTCTTGGTAGAACATTCCAATTCCTATAAGGTCTCATACCTGTCTCTGCTCCTAATTCTTCTCCCTTACCCCCAAACACATAGGCCAAATTTCACAAGTGGCCCTGCCCAAGACACAGCCTGGCCAGTGTCCCTGGCTTTCAGGTCTGAGCTCAGAGGCCTCCTCTTCCCCCATCTCTGGGGAAGAGTTCACGCCCCTCATCTTTGTCCCCAAAGCACATGTCTGCCTTTCTTTTATACCACTGGCTGTCAAACTGGAGAGGCTTCAGAGTCCCCTGGAGAGCTGGTTAAAATGGCTTGCTGGCCCCAACCCTGGAATTTAGGTGGGTTTAGGGTGGGGCCTCAGAGTTTACTTTTCTAATAAGTTAAGCTCTCCAGGGATGTTGATGCTGCTGATCCAGAGAGCATACTTTAAGAACCACAGCCTTGGGAGACAAGTTCTCTAATCATCATTCCTGTTTACTGATGAGAAAATTGAGGCTCAAATCATAAAGCAATCTGTCCAAGCTCAGATTATAAAGAAACAGAGCCAGGAAGCCCAGGACTGGTGACTCGGAATCCGCACTCTTACCACAATGCTGTCTCCTGCCAGGCACCAGCCTAGCCCTGAGATAAACTAGATCAGATGTCACAAACTCATGAAACCAGACTCCAAAAGTGGAATCTGCATAGTGCTAAAATTTTTCTTAAACTAATGACTAACAACACAAAAAGGACTTTTTTTTTTTTTGATCGCTGGCTGGTACAGGGATCAAACCCTGGACCTTGGTGTTATTAGCACCATGCTCTAACTAATTGGGCTAACTGGCCGGCCCCAAAAAGAGCATTTTAAGAAAGAAATTCAGATACTGAGCTTTGCTTTGAAGAACTGTTAAGATCTAGCATCACTGGGGACCCCCTCTCCACCTGACAGTGATGGCCTGGAGCTCGGCTGCTAGAGGCCACCCCCTAATGTCCTGCACCAGAGCATCACTCTTCTTGTCTGCCAGGCCACCTCTGCAGATGCTCGACTTTGCAAGCCCTGAATTCTACTCCTCCTCCTGTCTTTGAGGAGCTAAGAGCCTGGAGAGGGATACATTTACAGATGCCTCCAACCTTAGGCCACAGTTAAAGGCCATTAGAGGAAAGGAGAGAAAAGAGAGGTCACTTCCGGTTTGGGTGGGGTAAGTAGTCATCTGCCAGGATTTCACTGAGGTGGTGGCATTTAAGCTGGGCCTCCCAGGGTTTGAACATGGAGCGAGGTGACAGAAGAATACAACAGGCAGGGGGCAAACTCCAGGAATGCTGCACAAAGCCAGGGAGCCAGGAAAGGAAAGGTGGGTGCACAGTCCTGACACACCCAGCAGCCCTGAGG